ATAGTAGTTACTATCCTAGTGTCTCATTTGTATTTACTTAGTTTACATGTTTTAATAATTGTAAAGCGCTTAGAGCTTTATGATAAGCGCTATATAAAAATGCCTAAATAAATAAATAAATAAATAGTGCCTATAGTATGCGATATAAGTATAAGCGAAACATTTTTAAAATGATTACTTTTTTTTTTTTTTAAATTTAAGCTTATATTATTGTAAAGTTATGTGTCATTTTTAGATTATATAAATTAATTGATTTAATGAAGAATATGTGGAAAATTTTATGATTTTTTGTTTGAATTTTATTATAGAAATATTTATCTAAAAACTTGATAGAAAAAAAAAGTATACTATACAATTACAAGTCCTACTCAAAATGGAATGGACATAAATGAAACTATTTAAAGACTGTTTGTGTAATTAGCTTAATATTATTTTTTAGAATATCAATAAAAAATTAATTTATGTCTTTAGGTTATTGTAAATGTCAATTTATTTTGAATAAAATAGTTAAGTTACTAAAAATGTTTTTCTAATACAATTTTAATTGAATTGTAATAATTAATTGCGGACCTGCATTTTCAACAAAAAACGGAAGTTCCTAGACCAAAGTTGACTGGTAGCCAATCTTCACATTCTTATTAGAATAAGGAAAATAGCATCTCACTAACATTAAAAAACCTTTAGTATTTTATATGATTAATTTCGTCATTTTATTTACTGAAGCTCGAAAGTCCATTTGCGTATGAGTGATGGCTAACATAGCCGAGCAGCGGATCAAAAGGGAGTTCAAAGAAGTAGTCAAGAGCGACGAGGTAAATTTTAACTTTGAAGATTGAATTGATTGTCATGTTAAAAATTAAACTAAATTATTGTAATTGTACCGTCATTAATAACATTGGTTCAATTCAAAACAGAAATGTCGATAAAGTATTTTCATAAAAAGTGTTGATGGGGATACAGATGGATGGGAACTCCAAAAATGTGTACAGGAGTTCAATAAGTCTGAGGCCCAGGCGATAACACTTGACACTTCTGCGATAACACTTAACACTTCTGCGATAACACTTGACACTTCTGCGTCTATTGCCTCAGGCCTGCCAACCCTTAGTGCATGATACCATCACTAAGTGGCCCTTGCAACCAGTGAAATATCTTCGTCAACACCAGGCACAGAAACATTGCAAATCCCTTCTACATGCATAGGAACCAGAAAGATCAATAAATTAATCATGGGCATGGGCCCTTAATATTCCGATTGGTGCGCCACTTATTTCCCACGGCCACCATCTCGGTTTCCATGACAGCAGAATGTCATGGCAACAAAGATGGCAGCTATGTAATTAAAAAAAAAAGTAGTGCAAACACATGTCTGCTATAACTGGGAGGGGAAAAGAAAATGGGAACAAAGTTTTAAAATTTAATGAAATAATTTCAGCCGGCACCGTACATTAATTTTGGGTTAACGGTATGGGTTTTGCCAAGAGTTTTTCATCCTAAGTGCAATGATGTCACTTTGGGGTATCCCAGCACTGGACTTAGGGTGAATATACCATTCATTGCAGGACCCTGACAATTTGTGTTATAATATTTCTGTTCTTTAATGAGCATTACTCACGTCATAAACGATACGGTTAATATGAAGTATCTTTAAATGAAATTTTCCATTAATTTGTATGAAAATTCAACTTACGCATTTCAAAAGAAAGGAAAACACATCCTTGCTAATACCCTAAGACCAAACACTGGTGAAAAAAAAAAGAAGCGAGCCAAAATTGCTTTATTTGTATTAGTTGAAATCAAATTACCTGTATATTAAAACTTTGGTATCAAAAGGGTGACTACTGCTTAAATTGCATTTGGATTGATCTTCTAGGGACTGGGGAGGGGAGACCGCTCCCCAAAAATCCTCTGGGGAGGGGAGACCCCCAATTTAAGAAAAAATATAAAATTAGAAAACATTAACTTGCATTATGTGAATACAAACATCGAAATCTTTTTAGTATGGCACTGTAGAGGGAAGTGGACCTGGGAGAACCTCCGTGACATAGTTACCGTGGAATACATCAGCCGCCGTACCGCTAACCCAAAATCAGCCCTAATTTGTGTTAGCAACTTTATTGTATCACTACAGATCAGCAGAACTAAATGTCAATGACATAAGGTCATCCCCCTTCCTACCCATAATTTCAGGCAGTACATTAATTTCATGGCAAACGTAGCAACCTTATTGTATCCCTTTAGATATGCTGCAAGAAGTGTCAACAACCAGCTGTTACTCATTTCCTTCAACTAAAACACATGTGCTACAGTTATACACTGTGGTAAGAAAAGTGGGCCAATGCAGACCATTCGCGCCATGACATTTCATGTTTTTGTTACGTTTCTGTTTTGGATTCACTTCCCTTGTTGTTATTACTAGAGTTAAATTTTCCTTAATATGACGATGGAATGTTTTAAGTTAAAATTGTATTGGTTGGTTGGTTAATTATACTTTTAAAATTTCATTGGTTTGGTAAGTATAATATTTAATTTTTCTGCCATTTAGGAAAATAGGTTTGATATTGTATTCAATTCTATTTATTTTCTGACAACTTTTAGATTTTGTTTCTTGTGGAACCTGAAATAGTTTGAAGTGCATTCTATGAAACTGTAATTTGGGTTTTCATTATTTTACAATTATTTTGTGTTTTTTTCCTTCATTTTTATAGTTTTCTTACCACTGTAGCCACACACATATTTTTTACTTGAGGTTTAGGCTTAGGGTTGTTAGTTTTAGGGTTTAGGTTAGGTTTAGGGATAGTTTTAGGGTTCTGGTAAGGTTTAGGGTGTAAGATTTGAGCAGAGTTTTTTTTACACAGCCGCCATCTTGGTTGCATGACCCGTAACCTTTCACAGATCATGGCAACCAATATGGCAGCCATGGGAAATACCATGGCACGGATTGTCTGCATTTACTAAATATTACCGATAAGTGTAAAAATTAAGAAAAACAATGCAAAATATTTTTTAAATAATGAAAACCCAGTTTCAGAGAATAGAATACACTTCATTGCAGGTTCCACAAAAAATAAATCCAAAAGTTGTCAGAAAAAGCAATACAATACCCATTTTTTAATATGCTGGAATATTTAAATATTATAATTAACCACACAATGAAATGTTAATTTACTACATTCCAACTGCATATTAATATTTAAAAAAAGAAAAATGAACTTAACTCTAATAACAATCCAAGAATAAACAAACGGGAGAGAATCCTACAATGAAACTAAAAGTGTTGCGACGAACCAACATTAGCCAGTATATACATACATACATACATACATATAGTCTATACTCTAGCACTTGCTGTTGGAATAACTTAATATTTTATAAATCCATCAATCCTAGGGGTGTGCCGGATCCGTTTTTTCCAACCGGATCCAGATTTTCTTATGTGAAATCCGCCGGAACCGGATTCCGGAATATTCCGGATTCCGGTTTCTCCCGGATTCCGGATTTTGGTACTTTGCAGAATATTAAACATTAAACAAGCTCAACGCTCGAAACAATCGATTAATGTATCGTGATCGTGTGGAATTCGGGAAAGAGAATGGGAGTCGCTTAGTCGATTGATTTGTCACGTGATGTGAGTAAAAACAAGTGAGACTTTCGGTAGGCTGTATACAACACACTAGTGCTTGACAACAGTAGCCCGATACACACTACAACTACACTACATTTCGTCCAATGAAAATTAACAATAAAATAAACAAAGGGGAATGACTCCTGCATCAATATTGAATAAAAACGCAAATGACGTCATGAGCACGCACGGAGCTCAACAACATCCTGCCGATAATAGTATTGATAGTTCCCATCGAATATCGCTCACAAATTTTTCTTGAAATAACTTTCTTCCTTTAATCATAACTGACGTATATTATAACAGTGTAAATACCTAAAGTATTAAAAAACGCATGTATTCCAGAATATTTCGAAAGGTAAAATTTTTAAGTAACATGACATTGGGGAAGCACTGATGAAGTATCTTTTGTTGTGTGTAGCAGCCTAGTGATGGCTTACTCACATCACGTGACCAAACAAGGAAGTGACTAAGCGACTCCCATTACTTTTATTTCAGATTATGATCCGGTGAGTCACAAAATCTGGCAAATTCCGAAATCGGGTATATTCCGGATTCCGGTAGTTCCGGATACATGTAAATCCGGCGGAACCGGATTTCACCGGATAGTGCAAAATCCGGCGGAACCGGATTCCGGCACACCCCTAATCAATACCCTTAAGTGAATCCTTGCATTAGTGGTTAAATTCTATTGAACAATATGCTTAACTCACTGGGCTAAAGCAATGTATATTAATTAGTGTATTCCTTTTTAGAACAGAAGAGTCAAATCTAAAAATCATAGATAAATTGTTTTGCTTAATTATTTCAATAAATAGAATTGTGTTTGATATGTTCTATTGTAGGTTGCTGCTTGTAATATCAAAGTTGAACTGGTAAATGACAACTTTACAGAGTTGAGAGGGGAGATTGCTGGTCCACCTGACACTGCATACGAAGGAGGAAAGTTTAAGTTAGAAATAAAAATTCCAGAAACTTACCCATTTAATCCACCACAGGTATTTAAAACGTTAATCAATTTTTTAACATATATATATATATACATGCTTTGCAAGGCGATTTTTCTAGAGCTGCGCAGAATTAGTCATATCAGACCTTTCTTACCGTTAGATGCATCAAAGATGCTGATGTCTGCATTCGTGCTATCACGCATGGACTACTGCAATGCTCTTATGGTGGGTCTTCCAGTACGCTCCTAGATAAAATTTAAAAAGCACAGAATAATGCGGCTCACATTGTTCTTCGCAAACCCAAATTTGACCATGCTAAAACATTTCTGAGAGAGTTGCATTGGCTGCCGGTCCGCGCTCATATATAGGGTACAAAATTGCAACTCTGTGCCACCGCTGCTTGCATGACCTGGCACCGTCCTATCTCAAAGAGCTGCAGACGCCTTATTTACCCACTAGACAACTCCGCTCATCTGATAGTGGCACACTCTTGATACCACATGTTAGCCTTGAGACCTACGAGGGGCGTACTTTCGCATTTGCTGGCCCATCAATTTGGAACACCCTTCCTGTCGCTCTCAGAAACGGCCAGTCACTGGACTCTTTCAAAACTGATTTGAAAACATACCTGCTGGGATGATGTTGTCTATCTAGCTATTATCTTGTGGCTGTGTATTGGCCTGTGTTGTTTATGGTTAGACTTAGAATGGGTATTCTCGTTTATAGTTTTTGCAATGTTGCATTTTGTATTTCAATGTGGTATATTATAGATTGTTTCATTTCTCTTTTAATATGCTAGACAATGTACTGCGCTTCAAGCCTTTGGGGATGAAGTGTGATTTTCAAATAAACTTTATTTTATATATATATATATATGTATATATATATATATATATATATATATATATAATAGAGGTAGAGTGGGGGGGGGGTGTCAATTTATGACAATGTAATGTATGACAAGAGTGTCTAACTTTTTGTGCTAATTTGACAATGGAGGAGGGGTGGGATCAAATATTAGCCAAAATAGTGTGACATCATTTATGGTCACTGGGTTCTGACATTTGGACAGGCATCTTTGATTTGTTGAACTTAAAGATGCCATTATATTTTGTTTAAATTTGGATAAAAATAACAGTTATGGCACTTGTTACTAGTTGAGATTTTCCAAATATTTCTTTCTTTTTGTAAAAACGTTTTAAAGACATTTGTTGATAAACATTTTCTTTCTAATTTTTAGTGTACTCTTTTTTTTTCTACAGGTTAAGTTTGTAACAAAAATATGGCATCCAAACATCAGTTCTGTCACTGGTGCTATTTGTTTAGATATTCTTAAAGACCAGTGGTAAGTACTGATGAGTTTCCAAGGGTCGGATCTAGAAACACAAAGGGGCAGCTGCGATCTTGTTGAAAATGGGTTCCTATCATTCCATTTTGTCAGGGTTTTCCAATGTTGTATTTTTTATATTAAATTTGGGTTGTAGTTTAACTATAAAATTTATTAGTTCTGATCCATAATCTGTAGCTTCTGTGACTAAAATACAGTCAGTTCTTGCCCAACCTCTGGGCTTGGATCGAAGTCTAACAGTAGGCCTACTTCATTACCATTAAGAGTACTAAGACTAGTATCAGATTCATGAGACTCTGAAGTGAGATGTCATGGGAAATGTTAAAATCATCATCAGTATCACTTTAAATCCTCTCAAAAATATTTAGATTAGTTCTCGCATGGAAGGCCCGGCCACAAAAAAAAACCCCAGCTATATAAAATTCCGATTAAAAAGTACTTATTGTTAAGTTATCAATAAACAGCTTGACACGGAAGTTGATTTAATTATTAATAAAAGGAAGTGGCTATGATTCCTGTTAAATATTGGATTGGAAGTTGCTATTAGACCGTGTTTTTTATCAGCCGATTTTTTTCGGCTACCACAGTACAGAACAAGAATATCGGCCGATTTCTTCGGCTAACCACAGTTTGAGGGTTATATAAATAAAGTGGGTACTTTTTTCTTCAGATCCTTTAAATAGTTTGAACATATCACCACCAGTAAATAATATTTAAGGTATCTTATTTAAAAAATGTATAGATTTTTAAATCACAACTTGGCCCTTTGCTTTATAACTAAGTTATTATAAATTTCAACTTAAATTTAAATAAAAAATATCATGATTATTTTATATACTTTTTTAAAGAAACTTAAATAACAATTCTTAGTGAAGGTCCATATCAGCAACTTTATTGTTACTTACATTGGGAAAAAACTTGTGTCTTTTCTTGTTAATTTTTAATTAAGATTCTTTATTCAAAATAAATTATTATTTTTTTAATGTACGCTTTTTCTTTTGAAATATTTATCTAGGGCAGCAGCCATGACCTTAAGAACTGTCCTGCTTTCTTTACAAGCACTTTTAGCTGCTGCTGAACCAGATGATCCTCAAGATGCGGTTGTGGCCCAGCAGTACAAAGAAAACAATGCTATATTTCAACGTACAGCTAGACATTGGACTACAGCTTATGCTGGAGGTGAGACTTTAAAGGAATCATTACTATCTGCTGAGAGTAAAACATAAAAGCATCTGCTTCAATGGGAGAGAAAAAAACTTTATCTTACATAGCTGAGTATGGCTTATATAGTGTAGTCTAATAGTTTAAAAAAATCTATAAAACCAGTAATTAAGGGGTTGCTTAAGTTAGAGATGCAAGTTATATTTTGTGTGACTATGTTAGACAAGTTAACTATATTTCCATAGGTCCCAAGAATGATAAGGAGCTAGAAGACAAAGTAAATAGCATGAAGAATATGGGATTTGAAGAAGTAAGTGTCTACACAAATTACCTTTGATTATTATAATAAACTGTTATAAAGTGTAAATAAAAATTTCAATAAATGTGTTCCTTAGGGCTAATTCCACCCAGGTAAGAACTAGTGAACTAGGTTGTTATAAAAATGTGTATTCAAGAGGCATGGCCCTAGGGAAGTGGGTCATCCACAGCTTCCTCCTACGACCATTATAAGGGGACATCTTGTTTTAATGCCTAAAAGATATGTAATTTTTAATGTGCATTTTTTTTCTTCAAATTATTCTTCCCGCAGTCATAAATGATTTTTTTAAAATAAAATATTATGTCAACTCATTAACACAACTGCTTTTTCATTGTGGGGATGAGAAGCTAACTTCCCCTCTCCAGGTGAAAGAGTCACATGACCAGCAATCAGAAAGGCGCCTACTTTTTATTTTTTCATTGGTTAAAAAAATAACTATTTGCTGTTACTCCCTGTCACCAAAATGTAATTTTGATCATTTTGGTGATAGAATTTGTGATAAAAAAACAGAAATAGCAACAATTACTTACAAATCCATTTCCAAGCACAATATATAATTACATACGGTACAGAAATAATAAATCAGCATGAGTCGATTTAGCAATGACAATTAATTCATAATCGGTCAGCTTCATCTATGGAAGCCTAGTGCAATTTTTTTTTTCTGGTTTCACCCCTGAAATTGATGGTAAGGTTTTATCTATAACACTACTGTGCACAAAAATTCTTTGTGGAGAATGTATCATTACTTTATCTTTGTGCGTATTTTTGTGATTTGTTTACTCCCCCAGCACAAGGCAAGAGTGGCTCTATCAACAAAAGACTGGGACGTGACAAGAGCGGCAGAGTACTTAATTAGCTAACATTGTCTATCCTTAAGTTTATTATCAAAGATAGAAATATGGATTGTTTTTTTGCGCATGTTCCTGAACCGCCATGTTTTTTTTTCCTCTTAATAATCCTTGTTCAGTCTCAATATTTTCTTAAACATGTCTTTCTCTGATTGGTGTGAAAGGTTTTTGGCTTACCTGTGATCATGGATGTTGATAAATGTGTTTGTGACTTTTGATTTTAAATAGATGAAATTCGTGAGACCACAAGTGGCGTGATCTTTTGTTTTAAATGAATGTGTGGCCATTATGCATCATAATTTTTATTTAATAACGCATATATCTACTAAATTGTAATAAATAGAAGGAGATTATTTTTGTCGGACTAATTCTTGTTCTTCAGTTGTGTGAAAACACTGTTTTCATTTCTATTGTGGTCATGTTAGATTTGTATGAATGGATTCAATTGTCTTAAGTATTTGTCAAACAGTGGCACGGCTCGCTTGTTGCAGGAAATTTGAGAAAAGTGTGTTTTAGCAGAGTTACTTAAGGTTCTGTTTGTGTTGTTGTTTTAGGAAAGATTGACAGTGCCTGTTGTGATACTAGGGGGGTGCCAATCACACTTCCTTTACCACGTGGTTGTTATGTCCACAGTTCATTGACAAACAATGTTTTAAGTGAATCTGTGAGCAAACTTCTTAATAGTTGAATTCTTGAGTAAGGTTTTATCATAATGATACTGCCAACTGCTTTTCACAAATTTTCTCTGAAGTAGAGAGAGTGGAAAAACCACTCATGACGATGCGACTTAATTCAAACTATGACAATTACTTGATAAGTTGATACTAAGATTCTATTCAGTTTGTAAAGATGACAGTGATCTATAATCCATTCAATTGTATGTTCTCGGGTGCTAATGGCAACATTTCTAGTTAAGCACCACTTTAATTTGTAGATGTGATTAAAAAGCAAATATAGAATTCAAAAACTGTTCAGTTATGGTAGAGTAGTAGATCTTTTAGAAATTCAAGAACAATTCTAGATTGAGTCTCTTATCATTGAATTTGAACTAAATGAGTTTGATACAATGGTCATCTGACATTCTCACATGTCCTGCGCAGCGTAGATGCTGGGTAGGCCTGCAGGTGCAGCGTAGATGCTGGGTAGGCCTGCAGGTGCAGCGTAGATGATGGGTAGGCCTGCAGGTGCAGCGTAGATGATGGGTAGGCCTGCAGGTGCGATTTGCTCAGTGTCTGGGAGATTGTCCTGCCATTTAAAGTTCAGAATTTTTCAAAGGCTTTTGTAAACTTGTAAGATGGAAGTATTTTGAAATTGGTTCAACTTTCTTGCATTGCATTGATAGCAGGTCCACGTTTTGCATGCATTGAGTAGCGTGTGATGAATAGTGGCTAAAGGTTAAACTAAGCTTATGGAATTCCCCGTCAATGATCAATACAACTGGGAAATTTCAGGTAATTTCAAGAAATCCATTCTCACATGACCTGTGATGGGGTAGGCATTGGAGCAGAATAGTGTGCGCAAGGACATTTCTATCAGTAATTTAAATACACATTGCACTGGTTGCAATAATTTAAATACAGGTTTTTTTTAAAACGAATAATAAATATAAAACTGAAATTTCCCGTGTGTTTTGCTCGGTTTGTTAGTGAGTAACTCCACTCACAATCTATTTGTTGTTCTTATAAATGGTTTCTGTACCATTGTTTTTAGGGTACTTGAGAAATGACAATCATTTTTTTTCCACCTTGTTTGCTTCCTTGCGGAGAATGTTGAGATGTATCTGCATGATGTCAAAATCATGAGTTTGTATGCCAAGTTAAAGATATTTGTTGATTACTATTGAATTATTGGTTGTTATCAATGCTTAAATGACTGTATTTTACACAGATAATATTAATCATTTGTTAAAATCATGTGTTATTTATATGTGATTCCCATTCACTTATTTAAAAATAAAAAAATGGAGAGGTGCTGCTTGTACTAATAATGATCAATTCTACGTGCTAATCCATACAAAAAAATGTCATGACTACAACCTCATATATCAGAATAGTGTATGGACATAAGAAATTTAATTACCGGTGGGAAAGGTAGTGCAAGGTAGTCCACCATGTTCTGTACAAGAAATGTCAATTAGGAAACGATAGAAATTCAAAGTCAATCAACGGCACAATTCTAATTTTTATACTTTCACAGATAGTTTTTTTTTATAAGCAATTATTTGAAAGAGTCAGTCAAGGGCAAGATGATAACAATTGTAGTATTTTGTCATCTTTTTATATCAACAAAGCATGCGTGCCCTGCAACTCGTGCCCTGCAACTCGTATACAAATACATGTCAAGAGCTTTCACCTTAATAATATTAAACTCAAAGACACATTTTGTGAAATTTTATGAAAAATTACTTAAATTTAAATAGACACTTCTCCTGGGACTCGTTTACATGTCATGAGCTTTCACCTTAATAAGAATAAACTCAAAGACACATTTTGTGAAATTTTATGAAAAATTGCATAAATTTAAATAGACACTTCTAAAAGAATGTCATTCCGTTTAACATTGAAATAGCATGATAAATGACAGGCAGTAAGTGTCGACATGAAACATGGGGTCGAGTCAGATCTTGGAACTGGAACAACCCTAACCTACTGACCAGTAGTCCACATTCCCACCAAAACCACGACCGTCATCCATAAATGTAGTCGCTGCTTGAACTCACGCTTGATAAAACAAATACTTCATTAAAAGGCGTGGTGGGTTTAATGAATAATCTGCTTCTCGGAACCAATCATGTGTGAATTATTCTATGGTGTGTTGTTTGACATGCAATCGGAGGTGACCATGCTCACCAGCTTATGTACTACATCTGTCACTGTTAAGTTATTAACACTGTGTGAGTTCACCAAGTACATTAGACAGGTTGTTTTAACCAACTTCAAATTTTTGTTGGAGTTTTACTATTTTAAGTCATGTGTAGCGAGTTCTCTTGTTTGTTGTGTGGATGTTTGTGGTACTTTAAAAATGGCCACTTATATGGTATGTTTTGTCTTTTAGGGCGTCCATTAATTACGTAAACAAAATAGCGGGGGGGGGGGGGGGG